TCCGATGAAGGCCAAAACACCGACGAGAGGAGAAAGTAGTACAATCAGAAAGGCCTGTGTTATAGCAAGTTAGGATTGTTAAAAAAATAATAATAAATAAAAAGGATAAAAAAAAAAAGTTAGGATCGATTGTCAGTTTTTGTTTTTTGTAATCCATTGTACAAGAGTTGCTAGTTAGAATTACTTGGGTTCATGATCTTTTCTAGTGCAGGCAATCTCAAATTCTCAGTCTTCTTAAACTTTTCACTCTTAGTTTCTAGTTAGATTAGATTGAATTGAAACCAGAGAGCAATTCGCTGCCCACAACGATTAAAAATTGATAAACTAAACCATCCAGCACACCAATATATACTTAAAACAGTGGATGGATTAAATATAATACATGCTAAGTTAGAACATGTAGAAAACGAAGAGACTAAAAGGAAATCACATTACAAAACCACAATAATGATTTATACTCTGTCATCATATCATCAAATAGAGAAGTGAATAATAATAATGTTTTCGATTAAAGCATACTCACAATGATGCCAATGAAAAAAGATGTATGCATTACTTACCGCCGCTGCCAAGTGTGCGTCCAGAGAGAGCGGGTTGGACTAAAACGATGGAAATCATCAAAAGCCAATAGAAGATGAAAATAGGAGAAGCAAAAGTCTTCTTGCTCGTCATTATTGTTTATTTCTTCTATGTTGGCTGCCTGAAACGTTGTACAAGCTCTAGTGTTATTTATACGTACTAGTGATTTTAGCCCACCCTAAGCGTGTGCTTATTTCAAGAAAATGTATGGTTATTTATTTTTTTTCATATTAAATTACAACATATCATTGTAGACATATATGTATTTATCTGAAAAATCTATAGTTACTACTTCAAAGGAAGTTATATTGTATTTAAAATCATGGATGTGAGGGAGTTAGTGCGGGGAAATTATAATTAGATCTTAGTGATTGCTGATTGTGGGGAGCTTTTTTTTTTTCTGGAAATATATTGAGATCAATTAATTTGTCCTTATAATTAAGAGTAGATTAGAAATTTTAAAAGTGACGTGGTATGTTTACATCACACGTGTGTGATTATTCTTCCATTACATATAATAGTGAAAAATGATTGAGAAAAAATTGAGGATTTGTGATTTTATTGGGAGCAAGACTTAAAAAGGATAAGCTACGTGAACCGAATGAAAGTGTCTTTCCTGGCTGCTATTTTATTGACCCCATATATCATAAATGAAATTAGACTTGAAGGATTATTGACCCCATATATTATAAATGAAATTAGACTTGAAAGACCAGGACGGATCTTCTGCTCTTTTCCTTTTGTCACCCCATATCAGACGCCTATAGACCAGAAGGATTCCTTATTCTGGCGATGTGGGATCTATTAAAGTAGCAAGAATTCTTAATTCAGCCCTCCAAGCTCAAAAGCTGCGTAATTTTGGGCCATAATCATCTAATTGATGAGTAGCCTGTAAGTGTCTTTACTCTTGAATGCATGTTTGAAAGGATTACAAGGATATTATACAGACACCAAAATCATATCCAAAACTAGTTAGATTACCCCAGACGGGATTAGTATCGCTTGCCAATTAATCCTATAACGAAACAATTCGTGGTCCGCCTAAACAAACTAACTAAACGATAAAAATGTTTATAATCCCGGATTAACATTATTATTCTTTTTTGGGTTGCTATGGTGGATTGTCTCTGTGAAACTCATACAAGATCTGATCTTCTACTCCCCACCCCAGTGCTTGAAACACAAATAACTCAAATTAGTTTGCAGACTTGGTTGCCATAGGTAATGCTGTCAATCAATTTTCTATACACACTTGCACACAATAACATTTATTTCCTTTGCATGGGCTCGGTTTTATCTGGGCTTAGCTTCGATTGGATCACTCTCGGCTCAGCTTTAATTTGTACGGGAACATGTCAAGTCCGGTTTTCTTAGCCCTGTTCCCACTTCAGACGTGACTACGCCACAATTGCGTCATGAGGCCTGTGTGCATGGAGTCATGGAGGTCAAATGGTTTTGGGATATTGAATTGGAAATTGTTCTTTACTTAAGAAAATTATAAATAGTTGCCCAAATTCTGATTCACTCAGATATCTTACTCAATAGAAAAAGAACTTTCAAGGGCATATCCCCTGTTTAAGCAAAAAAGTCTACAGTGATTGAAATTAGTGTATTACAAATTTAAAATGTTTATTAAACAATCGAAACAACTACAGCGATTTAGATGAATTTCAAATTCTTTATCAAATTTCTCAATTCAAATGCAGCCTTAAAATATATTCCCGCTAATTATTTAGTTGCATTATGATATTGTTGGGATGCCTTGAATCAGGTTTTCGACCTTCGCTGAGCTTACAGTATACATTAGTTATCGTGTCTGTTTTATTTTGGGTCTTGGTTTTGGAGCTATTTTTGGGTCCCGTCCGTTTGGTTGTATATATATACACACCTTATATTTAGTCTGTAAACTATTCTGATTTAAAGCCTAATAAAAATCTGATTTCCCCCCAATTGTTCTTGTGTTCTTGTTTTGTTCACATATTTTGTTGCATCTGGTATAACTGATATATCTCTAAACTTTTTCAAGCAGAAGATGTCAACGCGAGGTCGACAATCCACGGTCACAAAGATAGGAATTTCAGAGGGGGCGAAAAAAAGTTAAAACGAGGAAGGAATCGAGTAGAACAGTTTCGACTAGAGAATTTGTTCATACGCACCAAGAAGAATTTTGGTAGCCAATTTCACGCATGAAAATGAGCATGCGGCAGCATATAAAAGACCATGCATGAATTTTTGGCAAAGCAAATTAATTAGGCTAATTAGCATAGCACTGAAGAAAAACGGGTCCAAGAGTGACCTTGGGCATACTGTTCATTTTTTTTTGTGGATCATCGTTCTCTTCAATTTGTTTGAGACATCAACGGCGGCTGGACATCGGGGTTGTAGTCCTCCCGCCGCTCCCTCTCCTATCGCGTTAAGTATATTTATCGATGATCAATCTCGCTTTTTCCTTTATCTTCTATTATCTGTGTGGCTTTAGTTATGGATATGGTGTCCTAATTTTCATGTCTTGGATCGATACTGCAGAGTTCCTATACCAGGCTCCTATGGAAGAACGACATGAGTTTATTTTGTTATATGTAACATATAGTAAATGAGAGTTTATGATTTGTCTTGTGACTTCTGGAAACTGAAGTGTTCAGCGCTGTGGTTGATCAATGTAATGGAGCTATGCAACTTTAGTTTGTGCAATTATGTATCAGCAATTTTCAGCCACATCAATTGTCACACGTATTAGTTTCTATCTTATTTGGAGCCAATTAAGCTGAGAGTGACGACGCTTCCGAATCTTTATTGATGGAATAGAAATTTGATATAGGTTATAAGTAGTCCATGGCCGCTGATAAACAAACATTTGCAAATTGAATCATCCTTTCGTAAAATTAATTAAAATATGATCGATCAGAGAATGTTGTGGTGCCTCGAAGATATTTAAAGCACTTCTAGAGAATGATCTTTTAAGTTGTTAAAGTCTACAGCATGGTGCCCCCCCCCCCCACCCCACCCACAAAAACAAAAAAAAAAAGGTCTATAGTATATATGGTTAGTGGGTAAATACAAGATTTTCCAAAGATATACTATTACAAAAAGTACGGGCGTTGTCTTCAACATGTCTGACTCGTTTTGGTATTCAAGAAACAAACCCGCTACTATGTCATATCAAAAAAAAAAAAAAAAAACATATGAAAAACCCAAAACTTGTGCTAAAAGGGGAAAATTTATTTTGAAAAAAAAATTAAACAGCCGCTCCTCCTTACATAAAATTAAAAACCCCATTTTTGTGATGCCCAATTACTAGGTAGGGGGAAAAAAAATTACTAGGTAGGGGGTCGCCCTAGCTGATTGCAAAAATTGGAATAAGTACAGGGTCGATTTTTATTAGAGCCTCCGATGCAATTCGCGTAGCGAATACTATTGCAGATTGGCCTAGGCGTTAGTGCCCGGTAAGTCATGCTTCGGCTGCCTGTAGGAGCAGAGTTAGCAGGAGGACTTACGCCAGTTGCCCTGCCAGCAGAGGGCGAAGGACTTGAATGCACTCCAATCATTCTACCCCCACCTGCCAAATACAAAAATTTACTAGTATTACAGTAAAGATTAGATATTAATATCAAAAGGGCTAAATCCATGCACTTCAATTTCCTAAACGTGAAATGTTTTCGGTTAAAATATACTCGCGGTTAAGCAAAAAACAAAAAAAAAAAAATGTAAACAAAAAGATGTAGTATACTTACTACCGCAGAGAGCGGGTTGGGGTAAAATCATGGAAATCATGAAAAGCCAATAGAAGATGAAAATAGGAGGAGCAAAAGTCTTCTTGCTCATCATTATTGTTTATTTCTTCGACTATGTGGCTCGTTCTGCAAGCTCCAGTGTATACTACTTACAATTGGTTTGTGATTCTATTCGGAGAAAGATTTAAAAGGAAAAGCTACGTGGACCGTATGAAGAACTCCGAAAGACTTGACGGTCTTTTCTGGCTGCTGTTATCTTGACCCCCCCAACAAATACGTTAGTCTTGAGTGACAAGTGAGTTTCCCTTTGTAACGTATTACTGGTGTGTGTAATTGAATTATGAAGTTTGAAATTAACGTATTGGTACCAGAAAAACGTGAAATTTCCACTGAATTTCACAATTCCATTCAAATGAAGAAATATATTCTTAGTACTTAATGAAACTGTGGATTCCGACTTACTCGTTCGACTTCATCCCTCTCTTTCATTCAAACAGAACAGGTCAATGATGGAAAATTTTCACAACGTAAGGGGATAGAAATTGTGTTGAGATCAATGCATGCACGTTAAAGAAAAAGCGACATCATTGACTGAGAAATTTGACCGCAAGATGGTTCATGTTAATAGTGAAAAAAAGGAGACACAAAGGTTGAGGGATTGATGTTTAAAGCTGAGAAAGTGTCGTATAAAAGCAAGGCGACACAAAGGTTGAAGGATGGTATATTTTTTATAGAAGAGATATCACAAATTTGAGGTAACATAGCAAATTAGTAGCATTCTCAAGAGAAGGAAATATGGTGCATAGAGCAACCATTGGTTTGGTCTTAATCCTCGTTTGGATCGCCATTCTCTTCCATTTGTTTGAACAATCATTGGCGGCTCGCAATCACGTCCGTTTTCTTGCCTTATCTCCCTCTCCCAGCCAGTAAGTATCAGTGATTTGTTAGCTCTCTCTCTTCATGTTTCAAAACCCCAAAAAAAAAAGGCTCTATTCTTTGTCGTTTACCATCTGTTGGCTAACTTTATGAACCTCTCCAGATATTTTTCAGTGACAATAAATATAAGGAAATCACAAGGTTTTTTTTTTTGTGTTGTTGGGGGGGGGGGGGGGAATCACAAGGAAATCCCTCTCTTTTTCTTTTGTAAATTTAGGAAGATACATATATTCATCTGCAACAGAACTAACGATTGTATATTTTCATTTCTTTGTTTCTTGTTTGATAACAGAGTACCTGTACCAGCCTCCCCTCAAAGTCCACATTTTGCTTGACGAGATGCATTGCAAGATCGGAGAAAGGAGCCGTTACCTTTCTCATTTGCCATCGATTTTTCAGGAAGATGATCAAAAGGTTGTAATTTTTATTTTTCGACACTTCTAAGGTATTTAGCAGACCTGGAAGTTAATAATATGCTATTTCGTCTCTATCTACTTTGGCTTTTCTGTCCTCCACTAAATCAAAAGGCTCAAGAGTGAAAGAAGTTTACCATATTTCTGGACTCAGTTGAAAATCTAACCGGGGTTTGAAGGGGTAGCTATCGTTTACATTTTGATTTGAACTGTTCTTTCAACCAAAAAAGATGAAAATCTTATGCTCTCTTTTTTTTGTTTTGTTAACCAGTCTGCAATTGTAGGGAGTAATTCACTTAGGAACTAAATATTCTTGAATTACAAATACTCAATAGAAGATACTAAAGAATTTCATATAAGCTATAGTTCTCTCTTGTGAATTACGTTGCGCTTTGTTGTTAATGCAAGTATATAATAATTAGAATTTTTTAATATTTAAAAATTCTTTTTTTCACTGAAAAAAATTACAATTACGGACTACAACTTCATTCAGCATAATATAATAGGACACATATAATAATCAAAAGGCTTATTTTGGGTTTTCCAATTTCCCTGCTGATAATGGAATCCCAATTTCACCGTCCACACCACCATTCTGTGAAAGATTGAATCAGGAAAAGAAGAAGCAAAGGAGAAGAGGAAACCAACTTTTTCCATGCAACATAAGGTTAAAGTTCCTTCTTCTCTTGCTCAATTGTTAGCTAAGCTTATTACGAGTACAAATTCAGGGTGTAGAAGGACTTGAGCAAACAGTTGTAGTCGCCGTGGAAACCCGCCGGGTCACCTGGGTTACTGAGTTAGTAGGGGAGTGTTTTTCCCGTCGCACTAGGAGCTGAACTTGAAGGACTTCCACCTACAGCAATCCTTTTACATTCACCTGCCAGGGAAAGATTCCAACACTTGAACTGATCTAAACTGCAACATTAATTAATAATGGGGTAAAATACCCCAAAAAAAAATCGTATGCTTTGGAGTATATACACTTTAGTTCCTTGTGATTTGGAAACCTATAATTTAACCACTTATGATTGTAATTAAAGTGAAACCATTAGATTTTCTGTTTGATTAATGGTCAAACTAGAACAGTCAAACTTTTTCAATAAAACTATTAAAAATTACAAAAAAAAAAAAAAATCACCCCTCAATATAAGGTTAACATAATATTCTAAATAAAATATACTTTTAGAAAATTTTGAGGCAAAAATGAAATTTTAGAAAAAAAAAGAAAGATATATTTGCTTCGTCATCAATGCTATCTATTGGATTGCTACCACTATGCTAAAAAAGCTTATAATTACTTCGCCTCTTAAAAAGGGGCAAGAACAAATCATGGTGGCAAGAATAAATCACAGAAGCAAATATAATTTTTTTTTTTTTAATTATGGCGGTGGTAGTCCAACAAGTAGCATCGAATACGAGGCAAATATAAGCATTTCTTAAATTTTTATTTTTAACTCAAAATTTTCTAAAAGTATAGTTTGCCGTCCAAATGTTTTTAGAATATTATATTAACCTTAGATTGAGGGGTGGTTTTGTAATATTATGATAATTTTATTTGAATACTTTGATTATTCAAGTTTGACCATTAAATTTAACAGAAAATTTAATGGTTTCACCTTAATTATAACCATAAGAGGTTAAACTGGAGATTTCCAAACTACAAGAAACTAAAGCATATATACGCCAAAGGATGGGGTACTTTTTGTATTTTACCATTAATTATAAGTAGCATAGCTTTCAATTCGACTACCTAATATATGTTCGTGCAGAGACAGCGGGTTGGTTTACCACAATTGTGGCAATCATCAAGAACCAACTACAGATGGTAAGACCAGAAGAAATAGGCTTTGCCCATCATCTTTCTTTCTTTGTGTAGTAAGGCATGAATGACTTGGTTAATTTATATGAAGCATTGAATCCAAGTGGCGTACTTCATCCCTGAACTAAGCGAAGGTTTTCCGAAGACTTTGGAAGACTTCGACTCTGGTCTGGAGTCTTGTGCTTGAAAGGAAGTTAAGTGAAAGCTGTTGGCAACATTTTCCATCCTCCAAACTCAGATGGTTTTGTGATTCAGTGCCTCCATGCAATTTTACTTATCAATATTTAACTGCTGACTCGTCCATCAACATAGGGTTTTATTCTGGTATTCTTTAATGCATGTTTGGCAAAAAAAATAATAATAATTACGAGGATTTTCTATAAAGCACCAAAGTGAAAAGTGAATATTTCTATTCATTATTCTTACCATGATGAATTGACCAACAAATCCAAATCCAATACTAATTCTATCACCCCAAAAGTGGGTTACAATCCCCTGAAAATTGTTTCATTACAAAACAATTCATGGTCCGCCTAAACCAACTAACTAAACAAATATAATGTTTATAATCTAGAATTAACATTAATCTTTTGGGTTTACTACACTCTAAATTAAAACATCATTTGATCAATGGTTGGCGGAGATGTGTTCATTTTGGCATCCCTTTCCTGTGGATAATAAGAGTAAACAAGGGATCCTGAGAACTTCATTGAACATATAAAATTGTGTGTGTGTGTGTGTTTTTTTTTTTAATATTTACTCCCATTTTATTTTCAAAATACCAAAATTCTTATCAGGGCTCCAGAAAAGGTAAAACAACAAAGAAGAAACGTATGCATACTAAAATGGTCAGCACGTTTACTAAAAGTTCAAAGCCAGAGAAAAAAGGCTAATCCTTTACACACAACATACATTTTGAAAAAAGAAAACAAAACAAAAACAAAAAAAACCACATATGTGTGTGTGGGTGTGTGCGTGCGCGCTCAATATTGAACCAAAAAAGAGGGTGTGTGCGTGCGCGCTCAATTTTGAACCAAAAAAGAAAAAAAGATTGACTATGATTGCTTGCAACCTTCTAGTGATCAGTTTTTTCTATTAAAAACTTTGCTCCCTGTTACATTGTACAATAATCAAAGTTACAGAAAAAAGAAAAAGAAAAAAAAAAAGGGTGTACCGGATATAATTATCCATCAAATGAGTGCTAAAATGGACTGACACTGTGGGCTAACTTCAACATGCATTCAGGTACTAGGCGTTTTTTTGGGGGAGCATTTGCATCTTTGGCAAGCGCTTCAGAGTCTCCATCATGAATTATGGCAACCAAATCTTCAAACATATCGTCTCTACCACCTCTCATTGGGTCCTAACAGTAGACAAGTCAAGCAAAGAAAAAAATAATGCATCAGCAAAACAAATAATCATGAACTACATGCATAATTTCCTGTGGACTTTGGAAAAGGTGAAATGTAGTTTTAGTAGTGATGCTGCTAATGAAATGAAGTACGTGAAAGGTCAAGTTTTTCTATTTCACATTTTCAACCAACGCATGAGCAACAAAGAAATAACTGTGTGTTGATGGAATAGGAAAGAAAAAGAATGAGATTCAGTCTAAAGTTGAAATCAAAGCAAGATTCGTTGTGAAAAGTATGAAAGAGGCCTCAATCTACGTAACAGCAAAACAGAATACAAGAAACAAGTAAGTGTAAGAGCAAGTACCTGAAGAAACAAGTCCGTGTGAGTCTTTCCTTCATATAAAACAGATTCAGCTTTAACTCCAACTTTCCTAAGAGTCTCTGCAAAACTCTTACTGCACAATGGATAAATGATATGCATCGATCAAATTCATGAAGCATGTGAGTCAACAATGATTCCTTTAAATAACTACCGAAATTGCATATCGTACTTATTAGTAACAATAATCTTTGTAATTGCACTGCACTTGGGGGGAGATTCCTACCTTGAATCTGAGGGAATAGAATAATCTCCAGTTCCATGGAATAGAATTATTGGTGGTAGGAGAGCAACCACGTTTCTAATATCTGGGTCCTGTACCTTGATTTCAGGAGAATATCGCCGTAGACCTTCTTCCCCTTCCATTATACTGAATTGCAAATCATGAGTAAGATGAGAGGCTAGAGAAGAACAAGTGCAATCTTAAAAAGCAAGGGTTGGAATGGTACTGAACGATTACCTTTCAAAAATTCTACGGTATAAACCTCTACTATGAAAGTGTTCAACCAGGTTAAGGAGATTGTATCTGTCCAAAAATGTTGACCAGAGAACGTGAATAAGTTGCATGTTTCTAGGTTGCGGAATGGGGAAACACTAGTTAAGAGGAGTACATGCTCATATCCAATTCGGCTACTAGTTCACATTAAGCAAAACAAGTCATTTAGCTTTCCATCCTCATGAACTAGATACTACTTTGCCATGTATATATCACAGCAGAGATAAACTACTTAAAGGTGTTATGATTTAGTTCAAATCCAGACTCCACTTTTAAGCTGTAGATCAGAATGCCATCAAACTCAAGGTACCACAACAACAATTCAGTCGGTCTGACCAATATCTGAAAACTAGGACTGCCATATTTTTGGAAAAGCATATTTCTGAGTTTTGCTACTTGAAAATGGTTTCTAAAGCATATTTCTGGAAAAGCATATTTCTAAGTTTTGCCTTAAGAGTCCAAATACTTCTGAGTTTTGCTACATGAAAAAGGTTTTTAAAGCATATTTCAGGAATTGGCAATTTACGAATACCATACATAATTGCAACCATAAATAACTAAATATAATTTCATCAAAAAAAGCAGGGCAGGAGGAGGAGTGATCATTTTCAAACACCATCTTTTTGGTCATATTCAGTTTGCACTCAAACTTCTGCCAACTATAAAAGCTTTACAGAACTGTTAAATCCTCATCGACCCTTTTCCCGGCTCATTGACAAAAGTTTCAAAGATTTTCCCAGTAGTTATTAATTCTTGCAGAAAGCATGAACCACTTAAACCTAACTTTCCAAGAGCTAGTGAAGCAAATGAAGAGAAAAAAGGCAAAATAGGCAAGGAAAGAAAAAGAAAAACAAAGGAGAAAGCTCTACAGAAATTGCCAGATACTACTTGCGCTTGCTCAGCCCATTCAGAATAGTAAAGGCTTTGATTTTTTTTTTTTTTTTTATTACCACAAGTTATACCAAGACACAAAAGATATGATGGAAATGATCCAGAGCCATTAGCTTGCCACTATTTTTGTCCATTCCCAG